AAAACATTCTAGCTTCTTTACTTGCAGATCTCTTTGAATGGCCCTTCTTTCATCTAAGCAACCTGTCATTCCAATTTTGAAAGCAGGCAAATAAGATGGTAGTATACGGTCTCTGAGGCTTTTGTTGAGAGTGTAATTCTAGTATTTCAATGCAGGTGCTCTGAAGTTATTTAAAAAAAACAGCAATCTTCACTTCCAAATCATTATTCCTTTGCAAGTAAAAGCTTATCAGCCTTGGTCTCATTTTTTGAGCTAGGCCTCTTAATCAGGCTAGATAGGACTTCCTCGTGCTCTTGCTAAATGCTTTTACAATGAGAATACATTAATTAAATCAAGAAACTCCCTTCCACTTACCTTCAGGAATTGCTCTAAATATCAAGAGTGATTCATTGATCTGCCTAGACATTTTATAAGCATTCTCTTGAAATCTGTTTGTTCTATTTTTCAATTCACTCAGTTCCAATGTAATACCTATTTAGAGGGGAGAAAAATGTTCCCTTTTAGGTTAACCCTCTATAAAACTGCCTAGGCAACAGCTTTCTTTATTACTCCTGACCTATCTACAGAATCAATAGCTTTCTACAAACTCCCAATATTGAAAGTTTTTCCAGCAAGACTTAACATCACTCATTATAGAAATTGAGTGTTTTTAGCTTGCTTGATCATTTTTCTACCTTGCTTGTTGCCTTTTTCACTAATATTTCTTCTTAAACTGTNAAAAGGCACTATTATTCATTTTAAAGTGTTTAATCACAGATGAGACAAAAAGTTAACGGTAGGAGAGGCTGGGGGAAGGGTGCACAGGTGTTCACTTGACTCTCCTTGCCCCTTTTCTATAAGTTTAAAGTTACTTCCAAATAAAAAATTATTAAGTGTTTAATCAAAATATATCATTCTGTCCTTAAAAAAAAAAAGGAAAGGAAAAATAAACTTCAGATCAGAAAATCCTCCACTGATTCAAGAAAGAAGCACCCCCCGTGCACCCAAAGCCCGGCTCCCTCGTGACTGTTACCGTTAAGGTGGAGACCACGCAGACACAGACAGAAGGACTTTGGGGACGAGCTTCAGCATCTTGTAAGACTTTAAAAAAATTTTTTTATTAAATACCAAATAGAAGTTTGAGGTAATGTGAACAATGCCCTGCAGCACAATTCATTTGTATTACACTTAAAATCTTAATGAATACTGCATATCCAAGCCATTAATATCAAAGTGGTCTGTGAGCCTGTTTCAGAATGCTCTATTGCCTCGTGAAGGAAGATCACCAAGCAAGCATTCTCTGACACATTTATAATGACTGGCATTGTTCCTCAAGGAAAGTGAAAAACATTCTAGCTTCTTTACTTGCAGATCTCTTTGAATGGCCCTTCTTTCATCTAAGCAATGTGTCATTCTCATTTTGAAAGCAGGCAAATAAGATGGTAGTATACGGTCGCTGAGGCTTTTGTTGAGAGTGTAATTCTAGTATTTCAATGCAGGTGCTCTGAAGTTATTTA